CTCTGTCTGGACTTATTCAACTTTTATTTTGCCTTCCATTTAATATACGCTAACAGCACCCCTTCAGAAAGGCAGGGTTGTGAACTACACCGAATGATCTTTGAAAAAAACTGTTTCAATTCTAAATCGCGTACAAAAGTGGGACACTCCCTGTAAGAAAAATATCGTAACCGGAAAGACAACAACAATTAAGGAAGATGCCATCACGATACAAGAACATCACGAGAAAAGGCTAAGGCGCACGTTCATCACGCTTGAATGGTAAATTAATGCGCATTGACAACTAGCGTCGCCTTGCACCACACAGAAGTACTACAGGTGAGTCATACAATCCGCTACTGCGGCAGCTCAGACACAATGTGGGACTCAATATCTCCGAATATGGAACACACCCAACTGTGATCGCACCAAAGTAAAGACAGAAACATGTCTCATCATCACCCGTCTTCTAGAATTTATATATATATATATATATATATATATATATATATATATATATATATATGAGCCGCGGGAACGGTATTCCTATATGGTTACTGTTTAATGATTCATGTTTGCACTCAAATAACTTAAGACTATGAGCTGGTTTGGGTTCCTACCACCTGAAGTTCATCTGAGACACCAAAACACTCCAAATAATTTTGATAATCCGATTGTCACCTGGATAGCACGAACGGTGCTAATCAGCTATAGGTTTCTGCTTGCAATGAAATAGCGTCGACTCTCAGAGCCGCGGGGCGTATGCAGTGCAGTTTGCCAGTTACTATGACCGGGATTTCCTGAGATAGACGCAGACGCGTACGTTTACGCAATAGAGTGAGCCGGCGTGGGCCTCTGGATTGGATTCGCTTTTTAGGCAGGGACACAGAGCAAGGCTTATATCCTTTGAAGCCTTTGCCGGGAGCGATGTTAGAGTGCAAGAAATGACATTTCCAGACTACGTCGCCGAGCCACAAATTTGCAACAGTTGTGAGACGCAGTGTACTTTTTTGTCCCGTTATTATTGGCAATCAAACGCAATTCGTATTTCACTACGAAAACATTAAGAGACCAATAAGGATAGATGAAGAAAGGATGCCGAAAAGCGTTTTTTTCTTGCGTGCAGCGTTTGTACGGGGTGTTTGCAACAGGATATTTCAGGTGCAGATTCGTGTGGGTTGTCATAGGTATTGTGCGTGATTGCCGGTGTATAGGATAAAGGCTGACTGCTGAGTTAGGGTATAAGGTCAAGTTTAAGAACTGTACCCGAGCATTCAAAGGGCGATGAGTGTTAGTCCATAATTCGTTGCCACACCAGGGCTACGGACCATATGCAGCTCAAGAGTCAAGCGGCGGCCCATAACGCCGGCAGTTAGAGTAATAACGTACTGAGGGCTCCTTGCGATTCTGGCGTGCGTGATCTTCCTATTCCCTAAAATCCGCTTTATCAGAGGGGAACTTCCGACTCATTGCAAAGCGTTGGTTACGCTCTTTTAAAATAGCCAAACTGAACATCAGCCTTTGCCTAAGATGTCCTTCGCGTTATTAGCATGGCTGTTGAGAAGGTTGCATCAGCTCAGTTACATTTCTATGAATATGTACTTCTCATCAGTGTGCACAAAATGTCGCCCATGTCCTCTCGTCTGCAGATGCCAGGCCACGCCATTTTGAATGAAACTGTCGTTCTGCGTCTCGGACCACTTTCGATGAACGATAGAGGAGGGACAGTTTTGTTGATTAATACTGGGGTGTAATAATTGCAGGTGCTGTAGCTGATAAGTACCTATTCTAAGATTCTCACATCATGTATAAAGCATGGACGAAATGTCTTAGAAACGCCCGGGACATAAATTCAAGTGACCTTAATCCGGGAACGAAAGAGGTTTTAGAGGCAAGCCAGGACAGCACTGTCAGCTGAGATTCCCAACCATTTTTAGAGTGACACCCCTGAGCTGCAGAAATGGCAGACGACGTCACAACGCAACACGATGAATTGTCTGCGCGCTTGGATGCGTATGTGCAGTTTAAGTCGTGTGTACGGAACGAATTGGATTAGGGTATGTTAGGCTCGCTACTTCACTTAAAGCTACAATTTTAAACTTGGCTCTCGGCCGCGTTCGATCGGTCGTCAGCACCTTTGTTAGCACCAATCACAACCCAGTATTCTCTCTACGTCACATCACGTGACATTAAAGTCACGTGGTTTATGACGTCACACGCCAGCTGACGCTGCTGCCATAATTTTTTTTGTCAGCCCATTGGCATGGAGAGAAGCGCTACTACATTTAATAAATGGTTCTGACAAAGAAGCGCGAGTTTGATGTAGTAGCTGTTGCGATTGCGAGTACGTCAGATGGAGTGGGAGCACTTGTCTCTAATTTCGTGGGAATGCGATGTGGGATAGATAAGAAGTGCATTGGACCACCATGGGTAGCTATGAAAAGGTGAGTGACAGTGATTGGCGTGGTATACTGTGGTTGCGTTCCGCAGTAAATTAAAAACGCTAGAGTGATCGTGAAAGATGGAGAGCAGGATCGAAGTGTCTTGAGTCTCGAGCAAGGGCTTTGCCAGAACAAGTGGAAGGTCAGTGGAAGAATGGGCTTCATGCCAGCATAAGCGGCAGTGAATGACCGATACACATTTTCTATAAAAAAGAAATTGAGCAAACACTTAAAGTGAAAAGGGAGGGATTTATATGAGATGGTAATGGGTAGAAGCACTTGACTTATGGATGGGATAGATGCTGGTAATACCGGAGCAGGAGCCACACTTCCAAATATCCCTTTATAGATAGTTTATCATAGTTGGCAGTTGGCCAGAGCTAGTGTGTGGTCTAAAGCGGTTATTAAGTAAGGGAAAAATGGGAATGAAGTTAATGTATCCCGCCAGCTCACACATCGAGCGCTCCGACAGCCCACACGACGTCACGCGTTCCAACTGGCAATCATAACAACGACAGATCGACGCGTGAGCCGGCGCGTGACGTCACAATCCACGTGGCTTTGTAGTCACGTGATGTGACGTAGGAAGAATACCGGGTTGTGATCGGTGCTGACAAACGTGCTGGTGACAGATCGAGGGTAGCCGGGACTTCTTGGCCCCGTTCGATCTGTCGATCTGTCTTCACCTTCCTTGTTTTCCTTTACATTTCATGTACTTTAGACCCCACACTTACTCATTTAAACTTCATCTATTCATCTTTTAACTTTTAACGTCATTTGAACTTCTTCTATTTTCATTTGAAGTGTTCACTCCATTTTTGGTGTACAAGAGGTCCGTCGATCATTCGCTGCTACTTGTGCTGGCATGAAGCCCATCCTTTCATTGAGCTCCCACTTGTATCGACAAAACCCACGTTCAGGACGCGAAATGTTTCGTCCCTATTTTTCATCTTTTACGTTTACTCTAACGCCATTAAGTTACTGGGAAACCAAACTACACACGACGCCAGTCACTATCACTCACCTTTTCATGGCTACTCTTCTCAGTTCTATTCCCTTCTTATCTATCCTACATCGCAATCCCCCCAAAATTAGAGGCAATTGCACCCACCTACCTAATGTACCCGCCAGCGCAGGAGCAGCCAAATCAAACTCTACTTTCTTTGTCAGAGTGATTTTGTAGTCTGGTAGCGCTTTCTATCCACGGACAGAAGGGCCACGTTCAATATGTCGATAGCGTTAGGCGGTCTGTGATGTCACACGCGATGTTGTGGCGATGGCGATATGGAGCTGTTGGCCCCGTTCTATTTGTCGTCTGCCGTATTGTTAGCTGGAAGGCGTGACGTGGTGCGTACTGTCGGAGTGTTCGATGTGTGGGCTGAAGGGATAGTTTTTAAACTTCACTTTCCCTTTTTTCTTTGTATTTTAACTACTTCAGGCCATACACTAACTTTGTCCCACCGCCGACCATGACGCACTACCTATAAAGTGGTGTTTGGAGGCGTGGCACCTGCTCCAGCACTGCCAATACTTGCTCCATTCGTAAGTTGAGTGCTTCTTTAAATTCCCAATTCATTTCAGCTTCTTCGCTTCTCATTTCACGTGTTCATTTATAATGCTATTAATTTACTGGGTAACGCAACCAGCCATCCACGTACAAAAAAGAAATTGAGTGAACACTTGAAATGAGAAGGAGAGGAATTGAAATACGATGGGAATGGGAAAAAACACCCAACTTACGGATGTGATAGATGTGTAAGATGTCAGAGAACACCCATGTGCTAGCCGGTGAATGTTTGCGTAGTTTGGCGAGCGCCGCTTCGAGGCGCTCACGTTCCCCTCCTCCTACCCCAGGCGCCACGTGCGAGGGACGCTTCCGCGGGGGCCAGAAGAGGAGGGAGTGACAAAAAGAAGACTCGGAGAGCCGCCGGCGCGAGGACGGACGCGCCAGCGGGACGGGCTGTGTGGAGTGCCTGTGACGAGTGTCAAATACAGGAGTGACCTTGGACGTACTGAGTAAGCCAGTGAGCCGGAGGCGAGACAGCGGAACGCCAGAGCTTACACATGATGGCAATATCAGAGCAGGGTCCACACTTCCAAACACCCCTTTATAGGAAGTGTCAAATGGTTGGCGGTACGCCAAAGTTAGTGTTTGGTCTGAAGTAGGTATTAGGTGAAACAAAAAAAGGAGGGTAAAATTATTAAAAACCCTCTTGTCAGCCCACACAACGCTCTGCCAACACGCATGACGTCACGTATTCCAGCTGACCATCAACTTGAGAGATCACGAGTTCAGGGCGACAAAAATATTGGCATCGTCGTTAGCCCGCGCGTGACGTCGGACCAGGTGATTTGTGATCACGTGACGTAAGGTGGAAGAATACTGGCCGTGATTGGTGCTGACAAAAGTGCTGACGATGGATCGAACGCCGCCATGGTTCTCATGGCAGAGAAAGGAAAATCCATGCACAGTTTTTTTTCATTGCTAGATATGGTAGCATAGATAATCTTCTGCTAGGGCACGGCATATAGGATGCAAAAAAGACGAATGTTGAAGAGCACCGATTCTTTGGTAGTGAGCTCGTGATGAGTGGGCGGATGGTTTTATGGGTTATATTTATTTGGATACATTCCTTAATGGTCCGCGCTAAGGCTGTGCAAGGCACCATCAGGTTGAAGTAGTTTGTCATATAGGACATCGCCACAGGCAGTACAGGTCAGTCACGATAGGTCTGGAAATATACCTGTTTTTCGTCATTGTAATATATCAGATGAGTAGGTGAGCAGGCTTTTCTTGATGGATGTTGGGCAGCTGGTAGGTAGGCTGACACCATTGTACTGACCTTCAGAACTAGAACCTGAATGATTTGTATGGTTTGTTAGGCTTTTTTCATGAGTAAGACCTTGGTGTCATCGCAATATTATGTCTATTTAATGAAGGTTTATTGACACCACTGTGATCCAATCCGGCATATGTTTGCAATTGTATGTGCTCGGGACTTGGTTGTGTCTCATGTATTTTTTGTTAGGCAAAATATATTGATCATCTATAAAACTCACATTCAACAAGTTCCCAAGCTGTAATCACCCAGGCCAGGCCCACCAGATGTAAAAATGCAAATGTTATTAGCTGCATCATCCATCATCACATGCATTATAATTGTGCAAGTGAAGATTGACACAATATGTACCCTTATATCTATGTATCATTTATGTGCTGTTCACTTTATGTCTTGCTAAGCTTTATGCTCCTCATGAGATAACAGTCGATTCTTTCCAGAAATAATCCATCCCAGTTTTAAATAGCATGGGGTTGCTGATTATAAACATTCCTACATGTCTCAGCTGTGTTGAGACCATGTGACCAGACATGATGTGTACATACCCCTGGGCAACAAATTCACCTCCTTCTAAAAAAGCTTGTGAATCAGTATTGCAGTTTTTCCACATCCAGTGAAGTCCTAGGCATGGTGTCACAACCTATGTGACAGAGAAAAGACTTAACAAATGAGTTGTATTTGTTGGCTGGTCATCATTTAGCATGCATCAAACTGTCCACAGAGTAGCCATGGCCTGCACAACAAAAATGCTGCAGAAGAGGACAATTACGCCCCTGGAGCAGCTTATTGAGGAAATCAACTTCCAGAGAGCTAAAGAAATGAGACAGATTCTGAAGGATGGTGAGGGCATTTCCTGGTAATACCGATGACCTAATAGATGATTATTCCCATATTATGTTGTTTCATGGCTTGGACATAATCAATAAGTTTGCCATCTGCTGCAGCTTCTTGCTGATGACCTTCCTATTGTTTTATTTGTTAAGACGATGGTTAAGTGGTTGTAGGAAGGATGGATGCAGGTAAGCAAATGGAAGCATTGGTCATTACTGCATTTGCATAGATAGCCATCTATGCAAATGGTATCTGCTACCCACTTAGATCTGCTTATTGTGTTTGTTCAACTATTTTACTTGCTCTTTTCTGTAGGAACCATATTGTGTAATCAGGAGGAATACCACTCCCATGCTGATTTGAGTCATTGGTTATTGATGACTTGGCATCACCGGGTCAGTTATCTAGTTTGGATCCTAGAATGTGGACATTTTCCCCAACCCACCAACCTACAGCAATGATTTATGCACTGTCTGCTATGATATAAACATGCCCTAGAACTGGGAGCTGCAGTGAAGCTTACTTTTCAAGAAAAGGAACAAGGTAGTGGCTGGCATCATACTCTACCCATGTTTTATTTTTCCCCCTAACTTTAACCCAACTAACTCAAGCGGAGGCCGTAAAGCCATTTTCCCCCTTGGTTGGTCATGCTGCAAAGGAAATTAGGAGAAGAACTGATAGACTGCAGTACTGATGTTATCATCTGAAGCACTACCTGTGTAGAAGACCCAAGTGACAGAAGTCTTGTGCTCTGCAGATAGTGGATTTGTGATGCTCCATGGCACTGCATACTGGACAGACCTGTTTGTGCGCCATTTTCTGTTTGAGCACGGACGCAGCGCTCAGGAGTCCGACGACCTGCTGTTCTTCATTCGAAAACGACATCTGAAGGAGGCCAGGAAGTTCATACCCAGATATGAGGTTGGTGACATGCATGCTGCGATGCTCTTACTGTATCTTCATTGAGTCATACACAACATGCTCACCTATTGGCCACATCTATGGCTGCCAAAAGCATTTCGAGTGCCTCATCTGTCCCTGCCAGCCATGTAAAGCAGAGCAGGAGGAACTGTGGACCATTGAGTCAATGAATTTGTACACTGTCATCCCTACCTGCTATTGCTGTTAAGGCCACGAGGACTTTGGAGCTACCTAGTGTCGGGTGCTTTGTGGTCTCATGCTAGGAGAAAGTGTTCAGAGCGCTGACGTCTGCTCTCAGACGGTGGTGGAGGTATTCCGGAGGGACAGTAAGAAGCTGCCAATTGGTGACCCGGAGATAGACTGGGAGGAGACGATCTATATCAACATGATCATCCACCACTTTGACTACTACCTGACACTGGCCGTGTGCACCCGCACAAGTCCGAAGGAGCTGCAGGTCCTCAAGCGACACACGGAGGTATCTGTCATCCTGGCTCATTCCTTCATTGGCGATGTACTTGCCTCAGGCTGCTAACGATGACGTGAAAAGTGCCTACTTCACACACGAGAAATTGTACTTTACGGCATGGGAACTGCTGCGACGCACTTGCCTGTGACGCCATGGTTTCAACCTGTGAAACGGCTTTTGACAATGTGGAACAAGCCCAAAGAACCAACATACACAGCTGTGTGGCAGACAGTACCAATATTGGCAGGCTGTGTGTCAAGTGGCAAGTGTCCGTATTTTGACTGGGCGTCTGTACCCTGTGTGTCTGCGTATGTGTGACAGTTTATGTGTGGTCAGGCTAGGTGGTGGGCGTCCGTGTCAGTGTGTGGGGCGCGGCTATGATCCTGGGCCCGCTTGCGCTCGCGCCGCTGGAGACTCCTCCAGCACGTGCTATGGTCATGTAGTGGTGCGGGTTGAACGGTGTCGCCGATCTGGAGATCGGTTACTTGTGTGGGTGTCGCGGCTAAACGCCCTTCCGGCTTTGATTTGGTCTTACAGCTGTGCATTACAGACGCCTCTATGCAAAACTCGTTAGTCAGAGTGGTGGTCGTCGACCACGAACAGAAACATCGATCTGGCTATTCATGTCGCTACACCCTGCTCCGTTTTCCGCGTCCGGGCACGGGAAAATGCGACGCCCGGCGATGGGGTTGGTACTGTTTGGGCGGTGCAGTGTCTGCTGGCTCTAACTGTGGCTCGATGCGCGCTCCGCCTGCCGACAGCGGGTGTGGGCGTCGCCGAGTCGCCGCCAGATGGGTGGTAAGGGCACCTCCGAGGACATCACCTACCCGGACGTCTGCTTCATGCTCGACAATTTCGACGAGGTGGGCGGCGGCCTAGCGCAGCGGGCTGTGGATTAACTGCTGCCAGACCACACAGCTGCCCGCTGTACCGAGTGGGCGTAGGGCTGGAGCCGTGCTTCTCACTGGCCTGCGTCTCTCATGGTGCGCACGCGGACGTGAGAGCGATGTTCATTCCCTGGTGACGATTGGCTGTCATCAGGAGAACCCGACCCAGAGTAGAGTACTCACTGGAGAAGGCGTAACCTAGGATACTAAGGTAAGTAGAGAAGGATGTATGATACGACGCGAGTAAAGCACCAGAGCATGATGCTGACTGTATGGCACCACAGCTGGCTGCCCCGGGCCGGGCGGCCAGCTGACCTGTCCGCCACCGCCGTCAGATCTTCACGGACATGCTGGTGCGCGACGGGGAGATGGTGTCGGTGGAGCTGGTGGCCCGCGATCGGGACGGTGCTCTGCGCGGCGTCACCTTCCTCGGCTCCGTCCGCTACGACGCCCTGAAGAAGGTGTACGACGCCAGGGTGAGCCTCAGCACGCTGCGGGGACACGACCGAGCGTGGCGCGGCGCCCTCAGAGGGAGCGCCGCCCCGGAACCGCCGGTTAGACGCACTCAAGGGGATTGAGGTGGGGTGGGGTGACAGTTTGTGACTTCGTGTCTGACGAGACCACAGGCTCAGAACGTCGCCGGTGTGGACTGCGCTATGTTGTTTCAGACGTCCGTTCGAACTTGTTCGAAGGAGGTAATGCTGTTGTAAGTGTTTACCATTGTCTGTCAGATGGAAGTACTCTTCATGCGTAGTCTGCTGGTGTGTACACCCACAGACCGTTTATCTCACAAAGCTCTTGCAGCTGGTTTCCTTACCTGAGAGGGCCGTCTTGGGTGGTCTGAACGCAAGCCTCATGCCGTGTCCTGGTTGCGAGGCCTGGCTTGAACACGGCGTATGGTCTGGTTTGTAACCTTAAGGACACACATCCGCGCAGGCTTGTGCTAACCACAGACCAGTCGGAGCCACATCCGGATGGCGGTGCCTCTACGCCACGTGCTGCCGCACACTGGCAGGAGCCCAGCTTGGAGGCGCGTGTATCGCGCGGCCGGTGGTACCGTTCTCCGGGCGGACTGGCAGTACCAGTAGAGCGGGCGCCGGCGCCTGTCCGAGACGCGCCGCACCAGCTGCCGACGGCCGCCCCGACCCCAGCGGCACCAGGCGGCCGGCCGAGTAACGCCCCTCCCCCTTCTTCCCTCCGATCCGCCAGGCCAGCATCAGCAACAAGGTGGCGCAGCGGATGACGTTCGGCCTCTTCTCGTCACCGACGGCGCCGCGTATGGAGTTTGTGCGCGTGCGCGGCCCGCTGGGCAAGGGTCACGCCGAACTGGCCGTCACCAAGCCGCCAGGTGGGGCCGGCTGCCGCCGCCGCGCCGCCCGGCGCCGCCAGTCGGGGCCGGCTGCCACCGCCAGTTCTGTCTGCCGCGCTACACACAGTGGGGGCCGTGCTAACAGTGCTCAAACGCTGATGAAAGGCGCGGTTCGTGACGTTTCAACTTCATGTCCTTATTGAATAACAAACATATCAGTGGTGTTCGCCATCCGAGGGTACACGTATCCAGAAAGAGATCGGCTTCCTTTGGTGCAAATCACCCATTACATGCTCTCAGTGGGAGGCGGAAAAACGCTGTTACATGCCAAAGCCTCTTATTCAAGGCGATTAAGAAAACCCAAATTAGTCTGGAACGATTTCCGCCGAGTTACAATTTTTTTCTTCTCGACTGTTGTATGGTATCCCCGCGTGATAACTGTCCAGTTCCTACTCGCGGTGAACGACTGTATGCAGCCCACGCTCGCCGTCCGTGTGCCCTGTCGTGACAACGCGGCAGCTGGTGACGGGTCGATGTTTTCCCCTCAAAATACGATCACCGGCTTAATGTTTTGTCGCACCATGACACGAGCTCTGATGCACCTGACTCAAGCGTGGTGGCTTAGCGCGCAGTTCACTCATGAGCTGAATACGTGATAAATGCGTGACACAGTATCGGGTGCAAAATCACCGCCATCGTCGTACAACGTCGCATATCCAAATATAATCGTCGTCTGATGGCGAGCTCCGTATGACCCCCCTACTGGGACCAGTCTGGTGTCCGCGTCTGGGGTCTGTCTCTCGTGTTCAGAGACCGGTCTGGTGTCCCTGCCTGACGACTGTCTCCCGTTTCCAGAGGCCGGTCTGGTGTGCCTGTCTGACAGGTATCTCCCGTGTCCAGAGGCCGGCCTATTGTGCCCGTCTGACGACTGTCTCCCGTTTCCAGAGGCCGGCCTGGTGTCCCTGCCTGACGACTGTCTCCTGTTTCCAGAGGCCGGTCTGGTGTCCCTGCCTGACGACTGTCTTCCGTTTTCAGAGGTATATCGTGTCCAGAGGCCGGCCTGGTGTGCCTGTCTGACAGGTATCTCCCGTGTCCAGAGGCCGGCCTGGTGTGCCTGTCTGACAGGTATCTCTCGTGTCCAGAGGCCGGTCTAGTGTCTCTGCCTGACGACTGTCTCCCGTGTCCAGAGGCCGGCCCGGTGTGCATGTCTGACAGATGTCTCCCGTGTCCAGGAGCCGACTGCGAGACGCCCACTTCGGAGCCGGGCTTTACGCTGACCGATCAGGCCTGGGACTCGGACGTGGACGACAGTGACGACGAGTACATGTTCCAGCGACGGCACCAGGTCAGTGACCCGCCCCGCCCCGCCCCGCCCCAGACCCCAGACCCCAGCGGTCAGTGCCGCCACGCGACCTGCACTGGTCAGCAAGTGGTGGCACCTGTGCTGTGCTCACTCATGTCACCCGGCCAGGTTTCTTCTTGTTCGACTAGGTCTTGTTTTGACCTGGGTGGCAGAGTTCTGCTACTCGGATAAACCGACGTCTCGAATGTCAACTCGTTAAATGCATTTGGTTTCAAAAGCCTGTAAGTGCAGATGTGTTTGATGTTGCGGGCCACGGCTCCTGCAATCGTTTCCGCACGGTTGCGTGACTGCGCTTGTGGCATTTTGCTGCTTTGTCTTTTTTTCGTTTAGTCGAGGATGTGAGGCGTCGCCGAATTACAAATCAGATGTGTTCATATATATTGTTTGTGGTATCTTTAGTGACTGGACGCCCTGTTTCGTTGCAGCGCCGCCTCAGCGATCCCAGCGCCAACTTTAACACTTTCATGTACTCAAACTTCCGCACAAAGCCGAGAGATGTTGGTAAAGCCAGGTCGGAGAGCGAAGGACTCAATGCATACCAAGATCAAATCAATGAAATCGAAGCAGGAGACGTGAGAGATGGTAAGTTTGTATATATCTTGTATTTGTTTTGCGTTCATCCAAAATCCACGGCTTAGTAATTGTTTATTTGCACATGCGTATCGGTATAAATACGCTACATTAGACATACCGTTATAATGGATTACAGCGCCCATTCATCACTAATTGGGGCCCGACTGTGCCTATGTGATCATCGTAGTGAATTGGTGATCACTGTAGTAGCATGTTAGCATTCACCCTGGGCAGCATCGACCTAGGTGACCGGGTCCGTGCGTCCCTGACCCCTCTGCATGCGTGTAGCGATGACCGCCTCCGCGTGCGCGGCTGCCTGACCCGCTGTCCGTATCTGGCGTATCTCACGTTTCGGCATGCGGTGCCAGCGTGCCGGCCGGGCCGGCCGCCCGCTGCAGAGGAGCCGGCGGCGGGCGCCGGCGCCGGCGGCCGGCTGGCACTGTTCTGTCGCGCCCTGTGCGGCCGGGCCCAGGCCAGGCGGCCGGCGGAGCGCCCAGCGACCCGCCCGGCGGCCGGCGCCGCTCCCCCGGCTGCCGGCAGGAGCTGGTCGCCCGGGGTCGTGGCTGCGTGCGGCTGCGCCATCACCCGACGCGGCACCACTGTTCACTACCGGTGTCGCGCGCAGGGCCGACGACGAGGCGCGCGAGGTGGGACGGCCTGGGGACACTGGAGGCGTGAATGGGGGCAGCGTGGGGGCATGGCTTGGGACAGGTTAGGGGCGTGGCCCGGGGCAGCGTGGGGTGTGGCTCTGGACAGCATGGGAGCGTGGTTTGGGACAGCGTAGGTCGTGACTGGGGACAGCTTGGGGGCATGGCTGGGGACAACGTGGGGCGTGGCTAGGGACAACGTGGGAACATGGCTTGGGACAGCGTGGGGCATGACTGGAGAAAGCGTGGGCGTGTATGGGGACAGCGTGGGGGCGTGGTTTGGGACAACGTAGGGCCTGACTGGGGACAGTATGGGGACGTGGCTGGAAACACCGGGAGGTAAACTGGGTATGGGGGTAAATGAGGCTTGCATGGTCTGGTCTGGTCGTGGCGCTTGATTGAGGCCATGATAGTCGGGTCTGGATATGGGGATTGATGAAGGACAAGATGGTCTGATCTGGAAATGGGGCTCGACAGGGAACAACGGAACATGGTCCTGGTATAAATCAGGCCTGAAACCTAGTGGGAAATGCCCAGAAGCCTGTAAAGATAAGCGATCAATGCTGTAAACGGGACACCCGAAGGCCTGGGTAGAACAAAGGTTTGGGGTTTCCATGAAGGCCAATTAAGTAGACTGTCCAGCTTGAGTACGGGGTGCTCCCAGCAAGGGCGGAGACCTATGCCGCCACTTCCAGGGTCTTGCCTTCATCCACCTTTTTCACTGGTTCTCACCCAGTTTTCTTTCCTTTGTGATAGAATTATTGTCGTCGTGATGATTGTTGCTTGTGATTGATGGTGTGGTGATGTTCAAATGATGATGACGATGATAATGATAATGAAATTGGACCGCAATACAGCCATTATGGGTTGAAACAGATAATGTAAAAAGGGCTCAATCGTTCTGAATTATCGGTATGGCTAGACGAAGCATGTTACAAACTGACGAGTGACATTTAGTCGTATAGCCCTTGCATGAAAGGGCTCCCCCAAGAATAAATAGTGTTACAGTAGTTTTTTTGCTGCAGAGAGCGGGCATCACCTCACTGCCAGCTGTCTTCTAAAGAGTTTTATTTATATTAGAAATTTCCGTGTTCGTTAGATGTGCATCCTGAACAACCAAAAATGGGTCGAAGCATGAAATAGGGTGACAGCTGAGAAATACCCTTGGCCCCGACTGGGGGAGAGCATGAAATTGGGAGCGTTGGAGCGCCTGCGTCTACTCATGGTTTTCGCAAGTCATAACCGGACTAATACATCGGCCAAGGAGCGTCTCAGAAAGTGTGGATGCTTTAAACCAGTTTTGGAGCCGACCCTTTCCCTGCGTCAGCGCAGGGTTAATGGTCAGGCATTCCCGGACAGTGGGATGCCATACCATCCATGTCCCTTTCCCTTTTACCACATCTATGGGCCAATAAGCCGTTCTCAACAGCCGATGAGCACGGATTCATATGACTGACGAGAACAGCCGTGAAAACGACCTTTTGAAGTGGAGCTGAAACAAATATTGCTCGTTTGAAATTGAAACTAGCCGATCGCAGGGCGCATTCAGAGCTGACCTCGCCTACTCCAGCCGGCTTTTGTCGCTCCAGTCTGCTGAAGCACGTCCATATCACGTCCGGCGGACTTCAGCTTCGTCTGCGCGTTCGTTGTATTTTTTGGGGGGGTGGGGTGGGGGTGGGGTGTAGAGTCAGGGTGGGGGGTAGACCTGTGCTCAGGTGTCAGTTGTACGGCCGCGGCGAGCCATGTGACCGCCTCAGGATAGAGTCATGGTACTCTACCGACGGTCAAGTGACAGGAATTTGAAGGCCATGCACGCATAATAAATTTACGCCCTTTGTGTTTCGGCCCGGATTATTTTTGGCCAATTTCTGAGCAATGAAGTGAACATCAAACATTAGCGGTAAATCCTTGTACAAATGCATGGCATATGCATATATAAATACTTCCGGCTCTGCCCACGGCAGGAGGGATTGCCTGTACTGGTGCTTCCACTGATCTGGATGGGATTAGTTGGCTAGGTGCCAGGTGGCACGCCTTGGATAATGCTACGGCTCGCGGACAGCAATTGCTGCATGGCCGCAATGACTCGTTCGCTGCGATGTTCGTGATGCAAGCGTTCTAACAAAGCACTTCCCTCACTTAAATTGGCATCGCCAGAGTCATCGGGTTTTGTTGCGGCACGGCGTTATGGGAGGGAGCCTGTGCCCCTCGGCAAGAGCGCGTCACTTTATGTTCGGGTAACCCCGGACGCGCGATTGTATAAGTCGAGCGATAAGTGGTGTTTAAACTCGGCTGCTATCGACATTCCTGTTGTGGATTATGGGGAGTGAGTGCCCTCGTGTCTGCTCACTATGGAGGCGGCCCTCAGCACCTCCACGCCGGCCCTCAGCCTTCCCTCCCCGCACTCGGGCCGTCAGCCCCAGCCCACCGCCCCTCAGTCCCAGCCGCGTCGTCCGCACCGAGCCTTAGCGCCCGCGTAGCGGTGCTCGGCAGGTGACAGCAGAGCGGAGCTGCCCCGATCAAGGTCACAAAACAGTCGCCACGCGCCCAATCATCAGACCGTGGCGAAACTGAGCACGCAGCGATGGGATCGGAGCCCCCCCCCCCCCCCCCCCTCCTCCCCCGTCCCTGACTGCGACCCGGCTAGGCGAGCGAATGACACGATAGTGGCCTTCATCGGACGTTACAGGGACACCGCGACTGAGCTGACGTCACGGACTGAGCTGACGTCACTGATTGAGCTGATATGGTGCTGTGTCGCCAGAGCTGGTTCACTGGCTAAGCTGACGTCACTGGCTGGGCTGACGTCACTGGCTGAGCCGACGTCTCTGACTGAGCTGATGTGGCGCTATGCTTCCAGAACTGACCTGACAGATATGATGTAACACTGCCGCGCTGGGGCTGGCATGGCGGGGCATATGAGACCTTGTGTCTCTGCAGCTACGTGAGCGAACTGATGTGCTCCCGAGGTACTTGAACTGGCGTATCAGACCCGGTATGTCCCCGTGGCACCAGAGCTGGCGCACTAGACCCGACGCATTCCCGTGGCACGGGAGCTGACGTGATCAAGCTGATGTGCGCTTTTTGCTGCACCAGAGCTGGACGACGGCGCGTACAACCCCATCTGGACCATGAGGGGCTTCTCGCAGACGTTCCACTTCTGGAAGGAGAGCCGACGCGCCTCCAGCCTGCCGCTGCGAGCCTACCTGACCTACGTCATGCTCCCCTGGCACGCCATCATCAATGGTGGGTTGTCTAGTACCAATCAGCAATCCCCAGTAGTCTACTAAGAGCAGCCAGTGGTAAGTTGTCCACTACCCATCATCACTGGTTGGTTGTGCATGTTTCGCTATCAGTGGTAAGAAGTGCCCTCATCAGAAACCAGTCCATCGCCCGATCACCTCTGGTAAGCGGTGGTTCGTGCTCGACCAGCACGCGGCCAGTTGGTCGTCGTGGCTAGTTTATGGGTGGTTCAACACCCGTTATCGTTTGCGAGTGGCGTCATGAATACTACATGCGTCAGAATGGTGTGCACGCGTGCACAGCTACCGATGTATGAGTAGTACAGCTTTTGCCGGAGAAATGACAAGGACAGTGAAAAAGTTCGCCGTCCTCGGGATTCGAACCCAGATCTTGAAGTGTGGGCAGTGCGCCACCGACCACGCCATTAATGTGCTCATTGCGTTACCTCGATTTCGAAGGCCAAGTTAAAGCGAGTCTTCCAGCTTTGATACTTCTGCGGGTGTCCAAACAGCGTGTGCTGTGCGAATGAACAACTACGGTACGCACACATGTTTTCAAAACACCGACCACGCTGTGCGAACCAACAGTAACAGCAAGTACACACATGTTTATTCAACACACCGCGTGCGCTGCGCGAAGCACCAGTAACAACATGTGCAGATGTGTCTTTAACTTGCGCTCTGTTGGGGCCCTGCATGATCTCTCACCGTCGATGCATCCAAACCCCAAATCGCCATCATGATCACGTGCTCTGCTCGAATCTTACCACAGGAAACGTGCGTCGCTGGCTACAACTGACGGTGCCAGACAGTCAACGGTTGAATATCGTTCAACAGTTGAACGAGCCCACGGCTGACGCAGCAGGGCTCGTGCAACGCATAGTAACAGAGGTTTTCTTTTCCAGATCTGATAGTCAAGGAGAACCGAGAAGACCCAATTTTAACTTTCTAACTGGTGTGTATCGTGTTCACAGTAGACATGGCCATGCGATTTGCTAACATGGCAGTGCGTTTTCCAACAGCGGCTCGCAATTCGTGTACGTGCTGCATCGGTGTAAGCTGCTTTGTGATATGAGTGGAAGTGCTACCCAAAATAATGTCGGTCCAGCGTTGACATTTTCGAGCTTTTGCTGTGTGCTGCGATGTTATTGTTGATGGTTAAGTATAATTGGGCAACGGAAGTTGTTGTGGATATCGGGTGAAACAACTGTTCAGGGAACCAACTAAACTGCCTTCTTCTGGAACTTTTTAAAGCCGTGCTGTAGACAGATTCGCTCCATCTGAGTAGACGTGACTAATTTTGAACGCTCTTCGCCACCAAACATTTCAGTCATATTTGCATTGCATTCCGTTTTGAACTACATGATGTAATGCCAAAACGAGGAAACGAAGCAAGCCTGATGTCACATCTTCAACTGATAACACACATCACGCACATCAGCTGTTATGTCACACACATCAGCTGATGATTTTGTAGCCTACACGCCTGCTTAATGTACTAAATCGCGACTTGCGACAAGTTTGGTGCTTGTCAATGTGTGTTATCTGCAATATTGCTCACTACTGATGTTCCGACGCTGTTGTGAAGAGGAGCGGGCAGGTCAAAACATACGGGCTCTTCCTATCAACTACGACGGTCAAAAAACCGAAAGCAGGTCATGTTGCGGACTACTTTTATCAGAAGAATTGTGCAGAGCGAAAAATGTTTTTGGAGCTCAATACATAGAAAGTGTGGAACACTTCGTTCGTTAGTAGCATATGTTTCAGCGTTTTCTGCTGGCGTGTGTTGTTCGCGGGCCTTTTATGGTGGTAGTACTTCCATAAGTGGAAAATCCTATGGGGGCAGATGCTTCCACTTTTTCCATAGTTATTGTTAATTATGCCTACGGTGAAGACCAATCACAAAAGTGTTTGTTGGTTCTTCGGGATTTTGTGGGGATGGAAAAGCCACTGATCGGAACAGTTTTTGTATTCGTTTTATGGATGGCAAAATTGGAAAGATTCCGATGGGTCATTCTCTTTAATTTGACAATGTGTCGCCATGTGGCGGATGTCACATGAAAATCAAAGGCACTGCCGGGCCAAATTGTGTCATACGCATCCCCACCTGCGAGAAAACGCGTTCCGGCCCCAGCATATGGGTAACAGATCGGTCTTACAAAAATTAAAGCTTGTCCACGGCAATCAGCCAATCACATTTCTCGACGATTATAGCCGCGTGCTGAGATGCTTGTCGGCCTTGCCTGTGCGAGCGACGGCGCTGTGCCAGCGCAGGTGGTAGGCGTGGTGCTGGCGCTGGCGCTGGCGGCCGCCCGGGAGGGTGCCGAGCGGCGTCGGCGCCCCGAGACCGGTGCCAACTGACAGGCCACTCAGCTCGGCCCGCCGTCAACAGCCAGCCGCTGCCGTCTAGCCGTCGGTAAACACGGCGCTATTGAGCGCCTCCGGTCACGCAGCGCGCTCGAAGCCATTTTCCAGTTTGCTTGTTTTTCACTTACGGAGACATACGCCGTTGTGTCGTGTCACGGTCAGGCGGCAACTGTGTCTGACATGGCCCAGCGCTTCTGACGTTCCTGGGCACGGGACTCACTGTAATAGGCTAGAGGGCCCTTGACATGGCGTGCAGTGAGGAACAAGTTGGCCGTTATATTTCTGGGAGCCCGCAATTCTTGCTGGTCAATAAGTGACTGGTGTGCTGGCAACCCACCGGGCTGACCGGTACAACTGAGATCTTTGTGATCAGATTTGACCTTTTGAGGGTCATTCGACCTGGCCATAATGTTTCGTATCTTACAGCTTTGGAAGACCATTTTAAAGTCATTTCCTCATTGGCGTGGCTTGTTTAGTTCGTGATATAACCAGACGAACCGATGCAACAATAGACTTCACTCGCTGGAACTGACGGTGACATATCACGAGTCAGATCTGTTGATGGCCACTAGTGTCCATCTGGTAGAGCTTTCCGACTGCCACTCAACGTCAACTCTACATATTATCGTTGCGCGCTTAGTTCTGGAGATAACGGGTGATCATGCAGGGCTTATAAATTCAAAGTCCTTCTGCTGAGTTAACGACCTCCATTGTACCATGATAATCGTTGTTTAGCGCTACAATGTCGTCTAACTAGTAGTTACTGGTATGCTGAAAGTCGTTAGCTTGGCGTAAGAACTTTGAACTCATGATGTCGAAAAACCAGGAACTAAGGCCTTTCTATTATAAGCTAACGCGGTGCTAATTTGACACTCATTGGGTTATGACCGGATTTTGCCAGGGAAAGGTCCCGTTCAGCTGACGCAGTTAAGCGAGTACTTTCAATTACCGTGGTCCCCTTGTATCTAGCTTGCTTACCTTTCAAGATGTTATGGGGCTGTTTAAAGCCCCCGCAAGAGGGCAAAGGTGAAAAGCCCTCGTAGGGCGAGGGGTTGCACGCGCCCGGGTGGTCGGCTGAATTCGATGCAGTAGGGTGGGGCTAGGGTATGGGTAACTTTTTACACCCGATGTATCAAAAAGTAAGAGCTAGGGAGACCAAATTCGGAGGATTGGTGGTGCTATGACAACGCATTAGTGTGAATTCGTTCATCTGTAGTTTGTGACCTCCGGTTAAATGATGTCTTAGGTCAAACTCAATATTGGTCCTCCAAAAACCTTCCGGAGCATTTTGATATGTGAATATAAAATTAGCTCCTAAGCAACAGGACGATAGCGGTTATTTTAGGTCAGTGAACTCCCATGACCTTAAGGTCGAGATGAGAGACTTGTTGACGTCCTTGTGACAGAAATTCTAAATGACAGCACAATTCTGCCTCCTGTGGCGGATTCTGTCTAGTCAAATCTAGTCAAATCTAGAATCCGGTCAAAAAGCCTTGTAGAGGTCTTGAAAAGTATGCCTTGTTTTTTGCACCACAGTGTCGGCTAATTATTTGTCTGTAGCTACGCAAAGCTTGGCGTCGCTACGTTATATCGTTCGGAAAGTATTCTAGAAAAACGTTGGGGGCCAAATCGACACCCCCACCCGAGCGCGTAGAGTAGTGTGGCGAGGGCGTTCAAAACTAGGCCAGTTTACCAAAATCAAACCACACCAGGTCATTACATGTTATCACATCTAGTCTATGGTACCACACCTGCTCCAATGAGCAGAGGGCGGCCGTTCCCGGCGTGGCGGAGAGCGGAGCACGGCCACCCCGCCTCTCCGGCCTCCTGCCGAGCCGTGCTGCCAGCCGTGCCCGTACCTGTCTGTCTATTTGTGCGCGAGCGCGCGCGTGTATGTGTGCGTGAAGCTGCGGAAAGATGCGCTTGCGCGTTGCTGCCGGAGCTTGTTGTGGTGTTGCTGCCTGCGTCAAAGCCGTTGTGGCGCGCTGCTGTCAGAAGCGCGCTTGCGCCTCAGCCTGTACTCTCAGGTCAGCGTCCACGCGCGTTCTCTGCCCCTGCAATGGACGCGTCGCTGGTGGCCTCGCTGCGGCTGTCGTAGCTCTTTTTGGTCGGAAGCGGCCCCACTAGCCCGCTGTGTTATTCAAGTCAACGGTGATGTCGCCAGCTGCCGTGACGTTTGCCGGGCCCAAGCCATTGTCACCAAAGCATACTAAGCTTTTCAAAAACGTTTCTAGGTGTTTCTATCAATTGTCCCTGAAACCAAGCATTTCAGACCCGCATTTATGTGATTATGTGATATGGAATGCACCTTGTTCTGGTATCTAGTCCTGTATGTTCAAGTGCTGATTTTCAATAAAGACAAACGAGTATAGACTCTGGTCAGCGAAAAATCAACCGTATACCAACCTGTGTCGCATTATGTCTTCACGGTCCCTCCCATGGACCTATCTACACAGCAGCGCAAACGCCGACACATTGGTGGGATTCGCTGTCGATTAGGAAGCGGAGATCTACTAACTATTCGCATGATCTTTGCGTGGTGCGAAATATTCGCTCTTAACCCAATATTTTTCGTGCGTGCCATTTTGCACTCGTGTGTTGTGACTGGAGCTCGGAAAACGACGCGCGGAACGTAGCCATGAATTGCGACAAGGTTTGATTGGTCCGTGGCGGGCCCACGGGGACGGAGGTCGCGTAAAGGAAAAGGCATATGTATCGAGTTTCTAGGCGCAACAACCCGATTTTCGAAGGAGCTTCGTAATGGCAAAACTGTGTAGTGTACGTCTGGTCAGGTGCGTGTGGTAAATCATGGGGATCCAAACAAATCCGGATACGGGATGATGTGAAGCCTTCAGGTGAGAGAAGGACAGGGGAGCAACAGAGCCTCGCTGACTGCCGCCACAGCTCCCAACACGCGCCCAGGATGGTGGAGGGGGGGGGGGGAGTTTGTTTTGTTGTTTTTGTTTTGTTTTTTATTGGTTATTATTATTTTTTTTTTCATTTTTTTTTTTTCTTTTTTTTTTTTTTTTTTTTTTTTTTTTTTTTTTTTTCTTTTGTTGTTTTTTTGTTCTATCTTATCTTTCTCTCCTCCCTCCTCGTGTGGGGTCAATTGGACCCCTCTGAGATCTCAGAATCTAAGGGAACTGTAGACACCAAATTCACGGGGCGTGTTGGCCTGTACGTGAACTCACTTGGGTCGAAGTTTGGGGTTTCTAGGTTACGACCTTCGGGCCAGAGGCCAGATAAGGTCAAACAAGATCAAATTCCAGGTTGGCGCCCAAAGTACGGTAGAAGCTAGACACGTGCTTTAAGCAAAAGGTCACATGCTCATTTAAGGTCAGTGACTTTGTTTGGCCTTCAAAGGTCATAAAATCAAAATCACAGAAGACTGCTTTGAGTTTTGCATTTGAATAAGCGACAATGAATACGCTATACAATATGTTCCTAAACCAAAATGCTGACCTGAGTCATTTTAGGTAAGTAACACGTTCTGACCTTAAAGAATCCCCGGAGGATATAAAATTCGCTTTCTGTTCCCAATAAATTCGAAAAGAGCGCTAGAAATTACCACCTACGGCAACACCTACAGTCATAAAGCAGGCTGGTTTTGATCTTGGTCTGACCTCAATACCTGACCATACGTCAATGAGATTTGTTCATTCAATTGTTGTGTTGCCTCAGAAAGTATCTCAGAGGTGTATGGTTTCGTCTAATACTTCCTTGTTGCGTTAGACTGAACGATCCTCTAGAAATTGACCGCGGAATCAATGGTCTGACTTTGACCTGCCGCAGGTCAGTGACCTTACGAGGTACATTTAAATGTAACCGCCAAATGATTCGCTTTTCAATTGTCTACATCTGTGCAAAATTTGGCGCGGCTTCGCCTTGCCGTTCAGAAACCATCTCGGAAAAATCTTCGGGGGTGAGCCAAATTGACCCCCACCCGAGCGACTGCTAACGCTCCACTTCTATGTCAGGCATTCTACCAGTGCACTATGGGCCAGATTGCACTCAAAAGCGGGATTGATTCAGTGAGTGAAGATAACTTGTTAAAAACATGTGTTCCGGACCAGTTTCCCATGTGAGATCCGAATTTGCACTTGATTGACTCGTCGCCCCGTTTTCTTGCACGTCTGTCATGTAACTTTGACAGGTTGGCGGAGACAGATGCGCAGGGATATTTAAATATATTGGTTAGTGCACAACTCTTCATTCAGTCTGCAGCCATCTCTGCACCTCGTAAGTGTTATTCCTATGACTTTCGAGTTTTGATTTAATCCCACTTTTGAAGCAATCTAACCCATAGTGCAGTGTGGCGTAAGCGCGGCAGCAGTTGACGCGGAAAGATCGAGCTGAAAGCCAACGGTCTTGTTTCGCGGGGAGTTCTTATCAAAAGCCTGCATGTAAGCGTTTCCAAAAGCTTATAAATGCAGCCGGCTTACACATGGTTTGTTCACTTTCCTGCAATACGCGTAGCGGACGCGGCTGCGCCGCCCCCGCAGACTGGCAGCCGGTCTGTCACCGGTCTCCGTCAGCCGCCGGCCGCTTGCCGATGCCCCTACAGTCGTCTACCACCGCACTTGCCAGCGAGTGGCGTCGTGCGTGGGTTCCACAACGGGCCGGCGGGCAGAGCGACGGCACGAGCTTCCGGGAGCAGGCGGAACTGTGCGGAAGCCACACGTGACGCCGCAGACGGCTGACCTACCTTCGGCGGGTGTCGCAGGACAATGCTGACGGACCGGGTTTTATCGCACAGATGACGAGTGACGGACAAAACCGAACGGCGTTTGATAAGAGGTTTAAGCCGCTTGAAGGACCGAATGATGGCGAGCCAACAAGACAAGACGATAAACTTAAAGCAACGGTTCGCTCAACGGCGTGGACTTGCACTTGAAAGCAGGGGCGGATCCATAGGGAGGGGGTACGGGGCCATGCTTCCTCTTGAGCTCCGAAGAGGTCATAGGCTCCTGTGGGGCTCATAGATATCCGAACAAACGCAGTCTTTTATAACAACAGCAAGAAAAAAGGCAACAAACTTGCACGTCTTTGTGTTTCAGGCTACCAAGAACAGTCGCCAGCAAAGTTGAAGGACCCACGAGTAGACGAATATTGTTCTTCACTGATTGAGAGCGTGGCGGTTGGGAAGTTTTAAGGCTCATTACACTGTCCATAGGGCCCACACTGTTTCCGGAGCACTATATGCCCACTTGCAGGGTAAATGCAATCATTAAGACGACTTCTACGTTGCCCTTGATTTTTTTTGCGCTTGTTCGGAATGCCCTGCACTGTTGCTGGGGCCTTCCTGCCACTTGCCGCATTTGCCGGGGCACTCTTGTCAAAAAACAAGACAACAACACTTGTCTTCCATGGATTCTTTCCATTCGCCCGAGAGGCTCTATACGCTGTAGCCGCGCGCCCCACACGTTTATCTGCCGGGATGTTCTCGGTTGCTCTGGGGCCCTTCACGCTGGTCTCGGTTAACCTACCGACAAACTCACGATGTGCTCATGGGCCCTCTTCATTGGTTTAGGGCTCTTCCACTTTTCTTTCACCCACTTGCGGCCTGACGCTCTTATCGGGGGTCCTCTGTTAGCCTACTTGGGCCCACTCGGTCGCTCGCAGCCCCCCTAATTGGGTATCGGGTACTTCCTATTTGCATGGAGGCCCCAACGCACTTGGGGGCCTTCTGTTAACCTGCTCGGGCACACCGGACAGTTCGGGGGCCGTACACATGGGATTTTGGTTTTTGAGTGTAGGGCCCTACGCTCCTGACAAGGCCCCATCTATTAACCTGCTCTGGCCCACTCGATCGTTCGGGGCCCTCTATATTGTATCGGGGTATTCCTTATTTGAATGGAGGGCTCTACTTATTCGCCAGCGCTCCACCTGTAAAATGGCTCAGGTACACTCGGTCGCTCGGGGGTCTTCCACACTGAGTCGTGGGTACTTCTCATTTTAATGGAGGACCCTATGCTCTTGTCAGGTCCATCTGTTAAGCTACTCAGGCCAGTGACGGATCCAGAGGGGGGGGGGGGGGGCACGGAGCCATGCCCCCTTTTGCGTTCCGACGGGACCCATAGGCTCAGAAGACGCCAATGACTGGCCGAACGGACGCAGTATTCTGACATAAAACGCAGTAAAATTGGACGTCTCTGGACATACAGACGACCAAGAACAGTCGGTAGCGAAAGTAAAGAGGCCGTGAGCACACAAACTTAACTCTTCGCTGATTGAGCTGATGGTGACTGGGGGGCATTCTGAGGCTCATTACGCTGTCCAGAGAGCTTTACGCTGTTGCCGGGGCCACATATGTCCACTTGCCGGTTCAAGTTGATCGCTAAGGAGCCTTCTGCGTAGCCGTTCATCTCTCCATTTTGTCGTAGGGACCTACGCTGTTCTTGTGCACTATCTGCGAACATGCCTGGGCACTCTGTAGCGATCAGGGACCGCCCACAGAGTCTTCTCGTTCGCCCGAAAGGCTCTATACGCTTTTGCCGGGGCCCCATATGCTGGGGTATACTCAGTTGCTTAAGGGCCCTTCATACTAGTCACTTTCCACTTACTTAAAGGGCCTTGTGCCGTTGCTGAGCCCATAAAAAGGCAAGGCACCGAGCCACTCGGTGCCCAGAGGCCCTGTACATTGATCTAGAGGTCCTACCCCTTGATCTCCTCTGCGGGGGACCCTTCACTCTTATCGGGGCCTTTTCTGTTAACCCTCCCGAGCACTTTTGATTGCTCAGGAGCGTTAGTTCAAGTACACTGGTTTTGGGTTATTTCCCATTACTCAGAGGATCCTGCGCTCTGACCGGGCCCAATGTGTTAGCCTGCCGGAGTACTCCCGATCGTTCAGGGGCACCACGGCAGCTATCTTATGCTCTTTTCGCTTGCTCCTCTCGCTTGCTCGTTTGCCGTGCCGCGGCACCATCGATCACACCGGTGTTGTCCTTTTTGGTCTTGGCTTTTGCCACATTGTAAGGGAGCCTACGCTGTCGACAGGTACTCTCACTAAACGCTAACAACAATGATCGAGGCTTTACGTCTCACCGACCGCCAGGAACATTTCGAGACGGATGCTTTTATTCAACGTCATGTGGGACCTGGTGGTAGCGTGGCCGGGCCCTGGACCCCAGACCGACAGGTCCAGAGTTCAGCGCCCTGAGCATTATACCACCACCGATCCGGATCGAAATCTTAATCGGCCAGGGCTCTCTTGATCGCTCCGGGGCCCACCACACTGGTCGTGGGCTCTCCCGATGAAGTCAGAAAGATCTTATTCTATTGCCGAAAGCCCCGCATAGTGCTTGCGAGCGCCAGGGCGTTTCGCCTGGACGTGTGTAAGGGCCCGACTAAATCTCTTCATGTACACAAGTC